AAAAAAAAAAAAAAAAAAAAAAAAAAAAAAAAAGGCTAAACTAAAACAGGCTTGTTTGTTGTTGTTTTTTTTAAAGACACAGAGATAAGGATCATAAAAAAAAAACGATGTTGATCAAGTTTCAAACTGCGCAGGAAGAGGCCGTTTCACTCAGGAAAGGACCGGATTGTGAAAACTGACCAGTTGAACATTACGCAATTCTCTCCTGACTCCACATTTACGTGGTTGTTGTGCTCACCAATTACGCAGCAAAACACGTCAACAATCTCATTTCAAACAGAACCCTAAACCCACTAATCTGCTCCAAATAAAATGGTAGCCCATAGAGGCGTCAAATGTGCATCGCATGCTTGTTCCTCTAGTACGGAGATTGCATAAACCCTCACAAATCCTGATCTCTGTGCACGTGCTGGAGAGGACAAGGGGCAGAGGAGCAGGAGTAAGAGCGGGGGGCAAACAGGAGAGAAAAAAAAAGAACAGTTTTTATCTTCCTTTGCTGTGCTGGCAGTCTATACCAGCATCCCTAAATCAAATTTGTCACCCGTGGAACGAGCGTTTTTCCAACCACAATAATGTTACCACCACCAGACTGGCCTTGACCCCATCCAGTAAAACCTCTTTTGAAAACCGTCTAATGTGCTCTGTCCAAATTTGGTAGCATCCTCTTTGGTGGTCCCCCGGGTGCCTCTTTGTGTATGCATGATATGTTTGTGTGTATGTGTGTGTGTCAGCGCACGTGTTTCATCCTTTTCTTTTCAGAAGGGCAGTTTGAATTAGCCTTGATATACACTGCACCTGTTGTATGTCTACAGTTCACAGATAAACAGAACCATAACTAAACTAAACTAAATCTATTCGCTGGATTGCTGAGTTGCCTGTGGGAGAGGTARAACTCTCTTAAGGCTCCCTTGAACGCTTCCTGCAGCGTTTGTTTTGGTCATGTATTTCCTTGAGCGYCGGACACTTCCAAGAATAAGAGGCTGCGGATCGTACAACCACTTCATGAAACACTAACAGGGTCTGATGTACGGGGTCTAACGCGGCACAAACATCCAAAGGTGTGCTTCTGCTTAAGGTAAAAACAAAGCAGTGCATTAGCAAAGCTGGTACATAAGACCAGATGTTATTTTGAAGTAGGAAAAAAAACTTAATTATTATTTTTCACAGAAAATATCTGTGTTTTGAGGAAAATTTGGAGTAAGCTAACACAGGAAGTCCCATTAAAACAAGCAGTTTGTTCCAGTACCTTAAAAAACAGCCCAAAAAATAATCCACATTTTCTTAAGCCCCAAGGGGTTTTCTTTAAGATTGTGCTCGAAAACGCATGCCCAAATGTAAATGGGTGTATCTCAGCACTTAAAAACACCATACAAATACCCCTGATATCAAAATAAAGCTAACATCGGGAGATTTCATCAGGAGTGTAAGTATCACATCAAATGCTTTTGTTTCATACAGATACTGAGGATGGAACATAGAAAAAAACATGTTTTTTCCCCCTCGCCTGAGGTTTTTCTGCATTATACAGTACATAACCTTTTAAAAAGTATAATGAATAAGGCTAAACACTCTTGGAAACCATGAATCCACTTATGGACATTACCTGTGCAAAACCTCATGCTGCTGAAGTAAAATACAACAAAGTTACAGAGGTTTTAGTAAAAAATATATATATTTAGGCATTTTTTTTCCTTTGGCACAGATTGGCACAAATTGGTACATTTTGGCACCATCTACAAAAGTAGATTCTTTTTAAGTTTTTAGTTACAAAACTTAATAAAATTGATAAATAAGTAAGCTAACTAGCAAAAATGACACATTTTGTATTTTTATTTTTTAAACGGCACATAGACAC